CCCATTGGAATAAATAGTTACCACCCATGCATATTTTTTATTATTTTTAAGAGATCAACTGTGTTGGGTTTGACGAGACGTTTTATGGTCACATTAATGATGTATTGATCTTTCAACGGCACGTGAACTTTAGTCAGTTTTCAATAACTGACGAACACTTGATTAACATTGTCTTTGCGGATTTAACCACAGGAATGCGAAGTGTGTGAATAAGAATCTCTGCATGGGTGACACGCTACAACTGTTCACCGATTCATTCAACACACACAGTCAACTGGGTGAAAGGCGGGGGGGGGGGGGTCGCAGCAAACTTGGCATTGAAGATTTATCAGCGAAGACCGGTCAATAGAACACCGTGTCCGCACGAAAGCTTCTGCTCATATTTTAGATAGAGAAAAATATAAAACGATTTCAGAACTGCTGGCACTTAACAGTAAAATTATGATGGAATGTTACTTCACATATGTGAAATATCTAGCAAGATATTCATGGTCCGGTGGGTCAGATAACCGCGGCCTTTCGGGGTATTAAATCAGAACCGCGGACGGTCTGATGTATTTTCCAGATTCCCATAACAGCGGTAAATATCTGAACGGCACAACTACTGTGTGTGTTGGTATTCCGCGACTGTACGGTTCCGTGGTCATATGAATGATTATTAGTGTTTCTATCGATTTTTAACACATGTACCAGTTAATTCTTTCTGTGCGATACAGTATCATAACAGTGCATGTATCTTTTATGAACAACCAGTCCATCGTTCAAGCATGTTTTATTACTGCCGTGCTTTTAATACAATTAAGGGCTCAGTCATAGACAATTTAAAGTGTGTGAAATGTTATGTTATATTCTAAAGTTGAATTCTCTCATTCTAGTTTGATCTCAATGATAAATGTGAAAATGTGCTGAAAGCAATTTAAAGTTTCCAGATTACAGACCTATAGCGTTGATCGCAATCTGAAACTTGAATAATTGGCTACGTGAATTTTTACCTTGGAAGCCCCGATGCTACTGCACTTTCAAGATTAAATGTAGGTCAGTGTTTAGGTCGTTGTTGTTGGTAGTGGTCACATTGTTGTCACTGTCGTTTCGTTGACAACTGTTTTGTTGTCACAACTATTTATATTTGGATTGAGTATAGGATAAGCACATGGATCTAAACCCGACGAAAGATGAAACCCATGAATAGTCCGCGTACGTGAGCTTTACCGAATTTAAAGACACTGCCCTAAGCCATATATATATATATATTGGTGGAAATTCATTTGAAGCAATTCAGTGAGTTCTGTCAATAATTCTGCAGGAAACTATATCCCATTTATAAATGGAATATACTGTTATATAATTCTTCAATCACACAATATGTAAATGAGTACACATGTTAATTACTTTATAGTCATTGTCATACAATTTACATGCTGAAATTGCGAACCCTATATCCATTCATGAATTATGATGTTCTAACTAGTAAAATGATATAGCCAATAAGCCGCAGGTGTTCTAGATAGCAGAATTGGCAGCCTGTTTTTGTTCTTAGCAGTGTTTCTTCATGAATGTCACGTTGATCTAAATAATCCTATAAAACTTACAAATGCGTGTATAAATTGTTCTAGAACGTCCAGGAAACATATTTGAGACATAGGAATTTTACTTGAAACGGTAGATGGAAGGTTAATAGTGTGCATTGTGATTATTTGAAAAGCACTAAGTGTGTTATAAGTATGGGGTAATACCCAACTACGAGGGCTCTTAAAGAAATTTTATCCCACAAATGTCCAAGTAGAAGGAATTATATAATCGCCTCCAAACTATAGATATTGTCGGGAATATACAGACACAATGTCTGTTACCCCGTTACGTAACATGCAAGGTTATTTACATTGCTTGATTGCCTTCCGGACGAACTACGGGTTGGACCAACTACTGTTTTAGTGTCCATTAGCGGCACCCTTTCAAGTTTACAGTAATGACTTTGACATCTGTTTTTATTGTATTTAAGTGTGTAGTATCTGAAATAAATTTAGTTGTTCACTAGCCTCAGAAACGTAAATATCGTCTTCTCTCCTATCACCTACAGATATATTCTCATACGTCTGACTGCCTTCAGTGAGTCCTGTATTGTGTCATAACAGTCTTCAAACAGTACATATTTGCGTCAGCATTGAATTTTTAGAATTATTGGTCATTGTCTCAAACAATTTGCATACTGAAATTTAAAGTTGGTGGATCGTATACACAGGACCTGCATAAAATAATAAAATAAAAGAATGAAATAGCCCCCAAAACGAAAGACCGACATGAAGTTCCGGGTAGCCCAATGAGCAGTGTGTCTGTCAGGTTCGAATGCAACACTTGAGGTTTATTCTTAACACAATAAAATCAGTGTCCAGTGTTACAACTTTGAAGTCACGTGACTGGTACACAACTTTTGGACTATTTATCAATACAAAGGCGTATACAGGTCTTAGGACAATTCATGAAACAAATATTTAATTTGGGACAAAAAATGATTTATACATATAGTGCTTATTACTCCCCCCCCCCCGCGCGGAGCATTCTGAAAAGCACTGGGTGTCTTTTAACGTCAGCTATAGATATTGTAGGTACGAATATGATATGAAATAGCAATTAGTCCAACTTTTTATTGTTCATAAAGAACAAATTACACATTTCCCTGTTTTTATTCTTCCAATTACCCTATACGCTCTGAGAATCTAATATAATAATACTGAACCACCCATAGTGCCATGTTGGACGAGGAGTCCATCTATTATACGGGAGATAGTGTGCGGGGCACAGGCGGAAGGTTAGTTTCAAATAGTCTCATAAAATACGAATAGAACTCTTGGCAAAAGCCATAAAGCCAATTGCATAGTCTGTGGCATATCACTTAATAGTATAATGCATTATAATGGTTTCAATATAATATAACCAGAATGTACTATTACACTATGATTTATTGGAATTTACTAGAAGATTAGAAATAGCCATATAAAAGATACTGTAATGTGGTTACATCATTTGAGGTGATTTGATAGTATTTAAACAGTAATAGACCGCAAAGCGATAATGAACAAACGGACACTTTCTGTGACATACATTGCCGAGCATATATATGGAGCATTAAGTGTGCTTGAGTAAATTATGGGTTGGATGGGGGTGGGGGCATTATTGTTCTTATTTTGTAGCATTGTCAATATCATTAATTTGCAGCTATTTTAAAGCACAACATTTAATGAAAAGTCAACAGCGAACAGAGTTTGAACATTATTTTTGAAATTCATTTGCACCCGAGCGTACACGTTGTTATCCGGAAAAATAAAATAAGTAAGAAACGAGTTGCGATACATCGAATTTTAAATGTTATTATTTATACTGCGAATAGACTAGTGACTAATGTTTTGTGGAGTAGTATTATAATAGTGAACGGAACGGTCACGTGATACGCTACGCTTACTGCTCTCACAAACAAACACCCACCCCCCCCCCCACCCACCCCCGATCGCCGGTGCGGACTGGAGCGCATACTGAATCGAGCGCTATATCGATATTGAAAACCGTTGCTATTGACAATAGGTGCCAATTTCCTTATTTTTCCTTATTTTAGAACACCCTCTTTTTTACTCGTTTCGGAATATAGTATTGTATTACGTGCATAGTGTGGGGTCTTGGTGCTCGATAATGGGATATATATTTGCATATAATCTACAGCTATGACATCATGAAATTCACTAGTTTTGAAAATATAATATAATATTCGATACATAGTCATAGCAAAGTATATTTCTGGGTACGTCCATGGGTTTATTTTTACGTCGTTAGTTAGTTTTGATTTAGGGAATGTTTATAAATATTTGTATAGTCACAACTGCTCACTATTGAAAACAATTGCATTCTCATAGTTTTAGACTTAGACGGTCGTTGGGTTAATTAATGCGTGATATGGATTTGGGTCATTGAAGAGCACATCTGATTTCAAATTCGACGCAGTATATTTGTACATGTATTTATTATCTGTCCAATATATTAACATATTCAAAATTACTGACATGCAGTTTGATTTCTAAGCGCTGTAAAAGTCGAAAAAGTTTGAACAAGGAATAGTCTGAGGTTTAAGTTGGATAACAAGCCTCATAACGTACACTGTGATTCATGTGACACTCATGTTCACAATTCGCAATTATCTTACATTTCACTTCTTAATGCGTAAACAAACTCAAAGTTGGCCGCTCTACAAAACACTGGACATCAACATAGGTGCAATCTACACTGTAGCAGCTGCAGATTCGTGATGGTAATTAGCAAACGTATTATTTTATCAGTGATCCAATTCTTTCTTTTCACACGCACATATTTACAGTTACGGTAGATTTACGCGTAAATGTGATCTTTTCGTGAGATATGAGAACGATTTGCATTCAATTTCAACATCCATCGATGCTGATGGATCATTGACAGTGATTTGACTTCCGTTTCCACAGATAATGATATGAGAGTTGGTCAATTGATTGGCGATGTTTGCTGTTCGGCTAAATGGCTAACTAAAGAGCGTCTCCCGGGATAGGCGTATTGACCTTTGACCTAATAGCAAATTAGATGTTATCGTTTTACGCAGTGAAGCAAATGTCGCCATGTGTTTTTAATATCATCAATGTCACGGTGCTTCCTTCTTAGATGTTTTGTCATTAAATACATCTACTCGTTTGGCGCCAATTATTATTGAAACCACATAATACAGATACATATTTCAAGAATGTGTGCGTAGGGTCAACACGCTAACTGTTACAGTGAAAAACCTTGCCTATCAGCTTATGTTGCAGTATCCTCAAACATCTGTGTCATTATACCACCCTAAAATCCCCCAAGCAGCTTTAGTCCTACAGTGACATCGATGCCAAGATATCCTCTACAATTTTCACAGTATTAAATTCGTGGTGTTGGGAATTCAGGACTGTGTAGTGGAGATCTAATACCTTATATTCCTTGTCATTCCCGAACAGTGTGATATGGCGGAAGGAACTAAAGCATTCTTCGATGCAATGGCGAGAAGTCCCCCTAAGTTAATGGTATTCGGTGGGATATGTTCCAATGTAACAGCCCCTTTAGCTGAAGCGGTGATGTGGTGGAACCTAATACAGGTATTCGGTCAATCGTTACACAGCTTGCGGGGTAGTATTAAATCTGGTTCTGTTTATTTATTTAATTTTGTATTGTTACTTACAATTTACTTCTTTGTGAATACTGTATAGATTATTTGCGGCGAATTGATAGTAATAATAATATGATAATCATATTGTTAGTAATTGAATTGTCACCGTTATTAACACCATATTCACACTGACACGATATTCACAAATACGCATGTACTTTTCTAGTTGTCTTACGCAAACACGGAACCATTTTTATCAGAACGTGAGAAGTACCCTACGTTTTTCCGCACTGTTCCTTCTGAAGCTGACTTCAACCCTGCCAAACTAAAGTTACTAGAATATTACAACTGGACCCGCGTTGCTACGATTCACCAAGACACGCCACGATTTTCAATAGTAAGTATCTACATAAGCTATCCTGTGTTTACCCTGTCCTATTTTGCGGCTAAACGACAAATCTGCGTATCCTTTTTTTACGATCTCCTAAATCTGACAAGGACCTTATTGTATAAGAGAGATTGAAAAGAAATCATATTATGCTTGTAAATAAAACGGAACTGTCCAACATAGATGGTTCGTTTCCTTTTTTGGCCCATAGAAAATTAGATGTAATACTACTTGACTGTTGAAATAGGAAAACTAAGCACCTAGTTTAATTAGTGTTTACATTATGTACCACCTGCCAATTGTGCGTATCAACTAATTGAACCACATGCAGAACACACGGATCAACTTCCATATTTTAGACTCCTTGCTCTAAAGAGGTGATACAAAACCCGTCTAGCACTGACTTTGCTGGTGAGAGATCGGCGCCACTATCGACCATAAACTTAACTCCCGTGGTTCTAACAATTGCGACGTAATATTAAACTTACTAAATTATTCATTTTGTTATTACATTTTATTGATCTCATAGGCACACAATAAAATGTCGAGTATTTTGGAGAATTCCGGTAAAATCCTAATCAAGGTTGCCAGCTTAACCAATGACCCCGACATCGCCGTGAGGAGCGTGAAGGTAGCGTACTCTAATCATTCAATCGTGTGCTATTAGTAGCGTTAAAGATGCCTAATATACACGTAAAACCATTAACAGTGCCATTCCATTACTTGATGTATATGTTATTCCACAAGACACTCGGCACGCATGTTTGTACATGTTAAACGACTCATAGTTTTCCCAGCTACTTGATGTACGAAGTTGTCACCACGTGATCGCATCTTATGATAGTCCAAACACACCGGCTGGTATTCATTAAAGAATACATAATGCCGGTTTCCATATCGATGAGTACATCGTTATGTTCTAAATAGAGAGGCACATCATACAATGCAAATTAAAATTAGTTTACTTTGGCATAATAGTCATTTTTGTTTTTGGTTATTCATGAAGTTAGTATGTTACGAAAAAACAATGTTATAATTCATTTAGTCGCTTTGAATTTGTTTATCTTTTAACTGGAATTATGCATCTAAATATAAAAAAAAGTACATAACAAATATGCTCAATGCCACAGATTCGATTATATACCACACTGACGTGGATTACTCGCTTAATACGGTTATGGTAATATTTTCACGTCTATTTACATTTACCCTTGATCCGTATCTACTGTTAAATGAGTGAAAATTACCTACGTCATATAAATTCACCGTATTGTACACAAACATTCTATTGTGACACTCTGTGCGGCATTATTGCAGTTGCCACAATAACTTGATCCTCGATTTTTTTCGCGAATTCCTACCGTAGTAGCAATATAACATCTACTTGGATTTTAACGAGGCTGCTGATACGGTAGATGTATACAAACAAATTTAATTTAAATTGGGAAGTTACATCGATTTCATTACAAAATTTCAAAGGGTAGAATTATTCTATAGATAAACAATTTTTTCTGATTTTTTCATTCATAAATAACGAGAAAACGTTATTGTGCGGTATCTTTAAATTATGCAAAATAAGACCACAGATACCTTTGGTATCATTCCTACCTTACTAATCCGTACATGTCACATGATCATCAAGTTCATTGATTTACATTGATTATTTGTCTTTCAGGAGTCCGGTGCTCGGATAATACTGGGATATTTCGATGAGAATATGGCAAGGAAAGTTTTCTGTAGTGTGAGTGTCGAGAAATAAATTATAATACGTGTGTAATTATTCTAAATTCCTTGTGAGATACCTGAATCGAGCTGGCATCTTGTTGTGTTTGATTTATTTGCTTATAATAAAAACATTTGTAACGAGATCTTATCAATAAATTACCGCTACTGATGCGGAATGATGAGAGAGATTTTACATTAAACTTGGTACGTTATAACCAGCTCATTTCATGTTGCTCGTGCAATTTATTTATTTATTTATTTTTAGACTTGCAGGTCCCCTGAGTCCTTAATTTCAATTGATATTAATCTGAGATTAGTCTCAATTGGCTATGAATCGATAAGGCTCACCCACGCTTCGGTCTCTCGATTTTTATTGTCGTTTTTTTATTGTTAAGTGACCTTATTTACTATTCGATGCAAAGCCAATAATGTACGATTTACGACATAGGAAAAACTTAGTATTGAATCATATCCTATTTGCCGTTATCGTTGTTATTTTATATTACCGTGGTTAGTTAGTTGTACCAAATTACCCCCCCCCCCCACAATTTTATATCGCAGTTCGCTCCCTCGCTAAAAGATCCTATTGAAATAACATGTATAACATCTCGTGGTTTTATGTTTTGATAATAGTACATGCGAAGTGTCTATACAGGTATTTACTAGTACATAAGACCCCCACATGCGATGATTCACTCGAATATGTGTACCAGGAGCTTCGCGGCTTGGAACAAAGATGAACACACGCAATACTGTTATATGTTTAACGCTCTATCTAGCATATTTACAATGTTTACCCTGACGCAAACTGGGAACAAGTTGATTGTATTAAAAATCACGCCTGACTAGAGATCAACAATGAGTGCGCCAAAACGTTAATTACATTCTTCTATTCAGAGATGTAATGTTTAACGATTATTGACAAGTCATGCTTAAAATATGCATAATGTAACGCCAAATATTATCACTTCTTATAACGACAAATAAATCGTATTCACAAATGGCGGTCGAGATCTCATTTAGAGCGCGAGCCACGTGACTCGTTTTTACCCCCTCTCCCACCAAATATAGTGTTTCGTTCTCGCCTTCGCGTTCACTGTTACAAAAACCTTGGTTACTAAAATAAGGCGAAAATTGGACGCACTGACTAGAGAAAATGGAACACTATTTGGGAAGAGGGACAAGTCACGTGACTGTCTCATTCTCAAGGAAATTTTGGCGGACATATTTGTAATTAAGTTATCGATATTTGCTAAACAAATTTGAATTACTATTTAAATACGACATGACATGTGCAATGCTATTCTGTATAATGCAAACTCGCGGAGGCGGCGGCATGGAGGGGCGCGATCCGCTCACCATCCCTCGCGCCGAAGGCCGGACTTTGCTAGGGGGTCCGGGGGCATGCCCCCCTTAACAATTTTGAAATCTAGACCCTCTGAAACGCTATTTTTTGCAACATTTTTTTAAAGGGAGCAATCGCCCTCTCTACCCCCCTGTTCCGCCGCCACTGACTCGCATTAGATGTGTTTTTTTAATGTTTGTGCTGCACTAAGTCATTGTCATGCAAACGCCACGAAATTGATTTAGTTGTCAACAGATAACAGCGTGTCACTTTTGATATACCTCCCATGAAAATAAACCCAACATATCGTGTTTTCTTCCTCATTTGTGAAGGCGTGGAAGAATGAGCTTGTGGGACACAAGTATGTGTGGATACTTCCTGGATGGTACAGTGACAATTGGTGGAACAGCACGGAAGCAAATTGTGACTGTAGCACAGATGAGCTGTATGAAGCAATTCAAGGCTACATAGCAACTGACGTATTACCCTTGACAACAAGCAAGGACGAAACCATATCAGGATTAGTAAGTCATTACGACTAATCCACCATCATGTGACAAAGACTATTACCTTAACACGTTGAGCCATCCGTCTAACCATTAACGCAAGATACTCTATCTTAAGGAATTGGATTACTCATTTATGAATATTGAATAGACACGCATAGAAAATATAATAGGGGTGGTTCTAAAACCTAAATTTACGTTAAAAAAGAGTACATATACAAATTAAAAACACATACATTCAATAATAATGTTATTTACTAAATTGCTATAAACGATTACCCAGTAACCGCGTTATTTGAATTGTATTCCAGACGGCCTCAGCGTACGAACAGGAATATAACGAGATGAGCGGTGACAATTACACGGTATTACACGGTTATGCATATGACGGTGTCTGGACTATAGCACTTGCACTGGATGCTGTAATACGACAACTGGGCAGCAACGTCACATCCATTGTCAATTACACGTATGCAAATGAAGATGTATTTCAGATGATTATGGAGGCTATGAACGAGACAGATTTTGTTGGCGTCACGGTGAGTCGTTATAAAGTTTCAAATATATTATTATATCGAAGAATGCTTTCGTCATGTCGATATGATTTCACAGACAATAATTTAACTGCCTTTGGAATGCTATTAGAGTAATATTGGTATTGTCTATCACTGATATGCAAATGAGATAAAATACTCCCAACTAAGTTGAGCATTTTTGGCATTTATTGCACCATTCGTATTAGTTTATATTGACTATGTTATGCTTGTGTGTATGTGAATGTGAATACTGAGATAACAGTTGGAATTCCTCTGTTAAAGTGGTGTTAGAAGTCTGAGTGAAAATAAAAGTCCGCGAATATATTTAGATTTAAAATAAAATCGTTCTGTTAGCTGCATCTGCCGACTGTCGCTAACACTGCGACAAACACAACAAAAAGCGCGCCTGCTTACATGAATGGAATGGAACGCCAGATTAACCAATCACTAGACAGAATTTTAATTTTGTCACTGCCCACGTGCAC